TTTGATCTCCATCTATCCATATCTTCAAATTTGTTTTCTTTTATCTTCAAATCCCTTAAAAACAACAATATATACTAATTAATTCATAATTCATCAAATTCATGATTTTATGTCAATAAACCCTAGATTTCACTTATTTGACTTGATAATTCATGTGATTTTAGTCCATAAAACAAGATAAACTACAAGTTTATCATTAATGAAAAGTTATATAAGCAAACTCAAGCTCTTCTTGTTCTTCTCATGCACCTACAACAATATGTGAAAGGAGACCCCTTACCCAATAGAGAATAGCGGAGGAGAGGCGGCGACACGATAAATTAACTGTGAGGAGAGAAGAACCAACATGGTGGAAGATATCACCGGACCAAGGAGACTAGGTCTGGATTTGGGAGAGAAAATTGAAAGAGAAGAAGAAAAATGATTCAGATTTCATATCTAGTTCTAAAGCTAGGTAACAACGAGTTTTTTTTTTTTTACACTTCAAACGATGTCATTTCGTGTATACTTTTTTTAAAAAAATATATATATAGTGACCCATTTGACCCGACCGAGAGTCACGGGTTCAACCAGGGGGTTTCGAGGGTTAGAGGGGTCAACATGCAAGTACGGTCTAATTATTAACCCGAACCTTCAGAGAGACAGGGTAAGTGACCCTGCGGGGTCGATCTCGAGATGGGGCGGAGTTTTAAAACATTGAGGTCCTCCCCTGAGGGCGTGGTAACACCCTTAACGACGACAACGAACAACCACACATTTATCCACGAGACACCGTAATTGTAGCTGCAATGGCATAAAAAGATAGACGAATTCAGGGCCTCGAAATATTGCTTGCCTTAACACAGTTGGACGAGTCAGATGAAGGAATGGAGTCAGAAAGATCATCGAGCGAAAACCCATTATGGAATCAGGAGCAACAAGGACGAAGTCAACCTAGCGATAAATCTTTTTTTGCTAATATTGGGGTGAAGATTGAGATCCCGAAATTCGAGGGCACCACTTATCCAGATGAGTTTATCTACTGGTTACATACTGTCGAAAGAGTCTTTGACATCAGAGACTTGACAGAAGACCAGATAGTCCCTATCTATTATGAATCCAAAGAAGAGAAGAACAATAAGTATCCATTTTATGATGAGGTCCTTATCTATGATGAATCCGACGAAGAGCAAGATGATGAGAATCCCATTATAGATGCTCTATTTATGACGAGTTCACTATCTATGATAAGTATGATTGGAAGTAAGACGATGAAAATCCAGAGGCGGTTTAAATCCCTTATAGGTGATTTTGATGGAAGGTCAATTACTGAAAATTCTAATATCTCTGACAAAGCGAAAGTTCTACCCAAAGAAAATGAAATTGAAATATGTGACTGAGTTGAAGGGAAATTAAAGAATAAGTACTCAAACAGTAATACTTTAAGTTAATTAATATTAATTTGGTTTCGAACCCAAATCTTCTTCTCTATATAAATACAGTGATGGAATTTTCGATGTGTTTATGAAATTTTAGAAGAATCTTTACATTATTCATCAAAATCAATCAAGTTTTCTCAAAAGTTAAGCATTTTCATTATCTATTGTATTAGGAAAAAATGTCTATCATTTAAAAGGATGGTCCTTTTAGATGAATGTAGTGTATTTTTTTAAATTTGAAATTATAAATTTTTTTCTCCACTCTCTCTCCCCCATAGTTTATTCTTTTATCTCTCTTAAGAGGATATAAGTGTGTGTCCTTTAAAAGGACACACACTTTTCCCATTGTATTAAACATATATTTTGACTCCACCAATAATTTAGTCAAGATTGTACTAAAAAAGATAATAATAACGCCACTCCTTATCTAAACTAACGATTTATCGTCTTCTAATTATTGAAGCTCAAATAGTCCATCCGCCACCACGACTTGATTTTGCTGCCGTTCATTTCACGCTCTATGCATAATTAAATAAAATAAATTTTTGTTTGATCTTCTAAGTATTTCTTTATTTTGAATACAACTAAAAAAAATATTAATTTAACTAGATATAAAAAATAATAATGAAAAAAACACATATATAGCATAGTATTCCTTTTTTAAAAATAAAAATAAAAATATTAGTCCCCAGTCCCACCACAACTTATATTTGCAAAAGGACAAAAAAAACAAAGTCAAAATCACGGGTTGGAAAACGTACACAACACAGGCACATGTCGTCCACGCTCCACAATAGCTAAGGTAAGCTAGGCATTAGGATTTTTGTGCTACGTGTCAGTGTCGTGTGTCCGTTGATGATGACAGTATTGGACTTTTGGTCGAGCTAGTAGCCACTAGCATCAAATATCCACTACCGGAGCTAGTGCCCATCACAAATCACCACAACATTCACCATTACTTTACCAACAACAGATGCGCCAGCCACAAATAATATGCATTGATGCCAAAAGCAAAAACACCTTTCATTCTTAACTTGTTACTTAGCTTCCCCTTCCTCTATCTACTTAATCTTAGGCACCGAATTTGTGCATGATGTGATGCGTTCGGTAACTTTCAAACCTAGCCAGTGCCCCATATTCTGCGGTCCTTATTATAGAAAGTAAACCACAACATCATCATCATCATCTTCAAATGATAGAAAATTTTAACAATTTTTCAGCACCCGACTCATGTCACTTCCATTAAGAGATAAATATATGGAAGATGAAACTCATTATACATGATTAGAGCACGAGACTATATTTGAAAGATAATCCCTTGCCATATTTCTATTTTGCTAAATTACATATAATATATATACATATAAGGGCTCTTATGCTTCATCTCAATTATTGATGGTAATTTCATCTATTGATTTTAATTTATTAGAATATATATATATATATATATATATATATATATATGAAAAAATATTTCTCAAACAGCTTGAGATAAGTTTATCTTCGGCTACTCCAAAATTACGTCATTTTATTTATTTATTTTTTTATATTAATTGATTCACCTTTAAATGGTTATGATTCCCTTCTTCTCTTTCTTCCTTTATTACCATTGATCAATCTTTGTACGGTTATGATTTAGTAGCCGGAGATAAGATTATCTCAAGCAGCTTGAGAAACGATAAGCGCGCGCGCGCACACACACACATATATATATAAGACAAGATATTCTTACACTGATGTAAGAGTTAGAAGTCTTACACTCAATCTTGACCATTGATCCACTTGTATCTAATGGTTCACATTATTATAAAATTAGAGCCATTAGATATAAGTGGGATCAATGGACAAGATTGAGAATTAGAGCCCTTAGATATAAGTGGAATCAATGGACAAGATTGAGAATGTAACTTACACTAGTGTAAAATGATCCTGACCCTATATATATATATGTGTGTGTGACCGGACATACTTAGTTAAAAAGGGACAGCTGTAGACAACCTTATCTATAGTGGCTGCAGAAATGTTTTCCCATATATATATATATATATATATATATATATATATATATATATATATATATAGGGTCAGGATCATTTCACACCAGTGTAAGTTACACTCTCAATCTTGACCATTGAGATCACTTATATCTAAAGGCTCTAATTTTTTTAGTAATGTGAGCCGTTGAATACAAGTAGATCAGTGTAAAACTTCTGACTCTTACACTGATGTAAGAATATCCTGCCCCATATATATATATATATAGGGTCAGGATCATTTTACACCAGTGTAAGTTACACTCTCAACCTTGTCCAATGATCCCAGTTATATCTAAGGGCTCTAATTTTTTAGTATTATGAGCCATTGGATACAAGTGGATCAATGGTCAAGATTGGGTGTAAGACTTCTAACTCTTACACCGGTGTAAGAATATCCTGCCTCATATATATATAATAAAATAAGTTCAGAAAAAGGAGAAAAAGCATCGATCCAATTTTATCTATATCCATCCTTTTCAAACTGGATGCTGATTGTTGACAAGCCATCCACTAACAGCTGCAATCAATGCTTAGCCTATTTCAATGGTGGTCCTCTTATGGGAAGAGAATCTTTGCCACTAGAAACGTTTTGGAACCTCATGCGAGGGCAAACCTGGAAAATGGTAGGTCAATAGGGAGGTAAACTAGTCAAACCAGTGGAAGTGAAAAAAGTGAGACCTCCTTTCTGATTTTACCTCCACTCTTGCAAGTGAATCGAATTCATTAGATGTGATATATTCTGATTCTAAATGCATAAAATTACTTTCATTTGGACACGGATTCATTCATCGAAATGAACCTTCTGATTTTTCGAAGAGTCACTTGCCAATGCCATAGCCGGTGGCGTATCTGTATGACTATAACTTCAAAGAAGCAACAATAGTTAGGAAAGTGTAGTCCTCAAGGCTGTAGCTAGTTTATAATATATACTTCTGATTTTTCGAAGTGCCACTTGCCATAGCTGGTGGCATATCTGTAAGACTATAACTTCAAACAAGCAACAGGAGTTTGTTAATATCATAGCATATACTTCTAATCATAGTATATACTTCTAATTCACCAAAATGTTTGTTTTCAATAGCTAAACGATGTTTATTAAAGGGGAGTTTTGGACAGTGGTAAAAGTATTTCTTTGTGACTAAAAGTTATGGTTTCAAATCTCTAAAACAGTCTATTTATAATTATATAAGGATAAAATTACCTACAAGAATTGACATCACTCCATCCTCGTTAGTCAAATTTAACAGGGAGTGGTTTTAAGCAATCTTTATTAATTTCTTTAGTATAAATTCCATACCACTAGAAAACAATCATTCCAGTTTCACTGCAACTTGTTCAAATATCCTCGAAATTAAACACATCATTAATGATTATTTTCCGGATTTGTTCAACATAATTGACTTTAAAAGAATCAGCATTGTTATATTGTACTACAGCTAGTCACGCAAAGTTAGAGTGTGCCCCAGTTAACACAACTCACCCACACACACATATATATATATGTACTCCAAATCGATCCATAATGTACATGTGCTTTTCCCGAGAGAAAGCATCTTAATAGTTAATATCTTTCATGGTCCATCATCCAATGAGCGAGGACAAGGCTAAAAGAGAAAGAACAAATTAAGGTGAGATAGTATATTATTCCGCTTTTCAGGGTAAGATAGTATATTGTTCCGCTTTCCATTACTTATTCTATGGAAGCACGAGAACAATACAACCAAGAAACACAATATTAATATGAACCAGACGTTACCTGCTTTCATGTGCTTGAGTTTTCTCTGATGTATAAGAACTGTGTGTTAATTACTTAGGCCATATACATACATATAGAGTTAGAGAGATGATATCACCATCAAGTGCCCTTAACATGGAAGAAGAGGAGAACAACTTAGAAATTGAAAGAGATGAGGACTTATTGGAAGATCAGTTGCCAGCTGGTGAGATTCAGTCTCAGCCATGGAGAGATCAGATAACAGTGAGAGGATTGTTTGTGAGCATGATGATTGGAATCATATACAGCATAATAGCCATGAAGCTCAACCTCACAACTGGATTAGTTCCTAACTTGAATGTATCTGCTGCTCTTCTTGCTTTTGTATTTGTCAGAAGCTGGACCAAAGTGCTCCACAAGGCTGGCTTTGTATCCAAGCCCTTCACCCGCCAGGAAAACACCATTATACAGACTTGTGCTGTTGCATGTTATAGCATTGCTGTCTCAGGTTTGAGACTATCATTTTGAATATATATATATATATATATATATATCTTCTTTGCATTACTAAATGAATTTTACTATATATATGTGTGTGAATATTGCAGGAGGATTTGCTTCTTATCTGTTGGGATTAAACAGGAAGACATATGAGTTGTCTGGAGCAGGCAATGAGGGTAACAGCGCAAGCGCTGTTAAAGAACCTGGATTTGGTTGGATGACTGGCTTCCTTTTTGTGGTTTGCTTTGTTGGACTCTTTGTCTTGATTCCACTCAGAAAGGTATGAATTATGTATCATATTTTTTGCTAACATTTTGGATATGACTTTGCTAGGCATCTTTCAGGACTTTTTAAAAGTTAAAGAAGAAAGAATTAATATTGCATATATATAGAGACTAGAGAGAGAGAGAGAGAGAGAGAGAGAACTTGTTGAAATCACTAGGTGGCTTACTGCACTTTCTTCTGCTACAGATAATGATAGTTGACCTCAAATTAACTTATCCTAGTGGCTTGGCAACAGCGGTTCTCATCAATGGTTTCCATACCCGGGGTGACAAAATGGCCAAGTACTATGCATATATTTCTTTTATTCATCAGCTTTCATTTGTTGCAATTTGGAAAATAAAGGGACTTATTAATAATTATCTCATTATAATATTGCAGGAAGCAAGTGCGGGGGTTCTTGAAGTATTTTTCTGTCAGTTTCTTATGGGGTTTATTTAAATGGTTCTTCTCAGGTATAGAGGACTGTGGATTCGAACAGTTCCCTACCTTTGGATTGCAAGCTTGGAAGCAAACGTATGATTTTCAGCATATATATATATATATATATATATATATATATATATATTGATTGCTTTGGAATGTATGCTTCCATTCCACCAGTTACTAATCTTATTGTTTGAATTTTAATTTGCAGATTCTATTTCGATTTTAGCACGACTTTTGTGGGAGCAGGAATGATTTGCTCCCACCTTGTGAACTTGTCATTGCTCCTTGGAGCCGTGCTCTCTTTTGGGCTCATGTTTCCGCTTATTGATCGGCGTAAAGGACATTGGTTCCCTGACAATTTAGAAGAAAGTAACATGAGAGGTTTATACGGTTATAAGGTGTTTCTATCCATTGCTCTAATCCTGGGTGATGGCATATACAATTTCACCAAGATTCTAGTGTCCATAGTCCTCAGCGTACTTGAAAGAACGAGGAGCAAGAACCATAAAAATGGTAAGAGCAATAAAGGACTCACTCTGCTTCTTTCTAATTTTTTAAGAATAATATCTAATGTTGGAAGTCATTTTCTTACTGCAGCAGTAGCTGCTACTAATCCCGCTGGGGACCTTAAACATAGTGAAACATTCCTCAAGGAGAACATTCCCATGGGGATTGGACTCGCTGGATACGTTGTTTTCACGGTCATTTCCATAATTATAATCCCACAAATGTTTCCGCAGCTGAAATGGTACTACGTTGTGGTTGCTTACATTTTTGCTCCATCTCTGGCATTTTGTAATGCTTATGGAGCAGGTCTCACCGATATAAACATGGCATATAATTATGGGAAAGTTGCACTCTTCGTGCTGGCAGCTATTACAGGAAAAGAGAATGGTGTGGTGGCAGGACTTGTGGGTTGTGGACTCGTTAAATCCGTGGTCTCGGTGTCCTGCAATCTGATGCAAGATTTTAAAACTGCTCATTACACACGTACATCTCCCAGAGCAATGTTCGTGTGCCAAGTAATCGGCACTGCAATAGGTTGTGTAACAGCTCCTCTGAGCTTCTTCCTCTACTACAAGGCATTTGATGTGGGAAACCCGAACGGAGAATTCAAAGCTCCTTATGCGCTAATATACAGAAACATGGCAGTTATAGGTGTTGAAGGTTTCTCAGCATTACCCAACCATTGCTTGCAGCTTTGCTTTGGGTTCTTTGCTTTTGCCATAGGAGTAAACATGGTAAGAGATTTTTCACCCCAAAAGATTGGGAAATGGATGCCATTACCAATGGTCATGGCCGTACCATTTCTGGTTGGGGCATACTTTGCAATTGATATGAGCATAGGTAGTTTGATTGTGTTCGTGTGGCACAAGCTTAACACCAAGAAGGCAGAGTTGATGGTTCCAGCAACTGCCTCTGGACTAATTTGTGGGGAAGGACTCTGGACTCTTCCTGCTGCAATTCTTGCTCTTGCGAAAATTAATCCTCCTATCTGCATGAAATTTGTTGCTTCCTAGAACTTGGCCGAGCACATAAAGCAATGAATGCCTCACGCTATATTCAATGCTATAGGAATTAGCTAGTAGTGCAACCTCCTTTATTTTTATTTTATTTTGGTCAACGCTAGTACACTATGAAGCACACATCAGTTAGAACAGTTTGTAACACATCACAATTTTCTGACAAAAATAAGGCATGTTTCTATAAGGCAGCTCTCGCATGTAAATTCCCCCTACCCCAAAAATAATAATAAACGAAACCTCTCCCCCGTTGATTAATCGATAATTTTTCAGCCTTTACTGAAAATGGGCTACAAATGGATAACCGATGAAGTATTACGTTAAACAGGGGATCCAACAAAGTACAGTTGTGGACAGGCACCAACAAATTACATAATCCGTAACAGATTGAACACCTCCAAAAGAAATCAAGAAATAAGTATTCAGACTTCAGTTCCTAAAATTCTTGAATTCCTGTAAAATATATAATTGGTAAAAACATGGTTCAACAAGCTGGTTCATGAGTAAACTCAGATTTTTCAATTGTATTGAAATTTTCATACGCTACTCAATATTATACACAGGTTTACGGAGAAGTACAAAAAGCTGGATAACGCGTTCTAACATAGTTTGACAGATCAAATACGTGATACACTTAACAAACTTAAATTCATCCTGTAATAATACCGGCCAGTACATCACTTTTGCCTCGCACATAAATTGTGTAAACTAGACGAATTGCATCCAGCCATCCATCCAATGATTCCCACGAGTCAGCAACCTTGACAATACAAGAAATAAAAAAAATTAGAGCTGCATTTTCAAAAGCTAAAGAGATTCTCGTGCTTCTGGCTTGAGATGAAGCAAATTCAAAGATACGACTTGAGAAAAGAATAAAAATTTGGATTTGGCCGAATAATTTTGAAAATACATTGGTGGTGACTGAGGGAGGGGTTAATCAGGAAATACATGAAAGGATTTTGCCTTTCTATACAAATGCACAGTAAGCACTAATGGAAGCATGAAGGAGGTTTTGCCCTCTAGAGGCTATGTCTGCCAGACAGAATGGACAACAGAGTGTAGGTTTCATACTTTCATGCAATTGCCTTCCCCATTTGAAGTTGATAATCTCTTGATATAACCAGATGAGCTATGAACACAGAACAAGCCATCACAAAAAAATCTAGTTTTCAAAAGGAAGCAACAGGGCTGAGTAAGAAATAAAACTCAAAACTAATGTTACAAGTGGTTGTTGGGACAATCAAGTGTACAGAAATCATAATTTCATTCTTAAAAATGGATAGGCCATGGTTATTTCATTATAAAAAAGGTTATGGCTTTATCTGTCCAACATCGACCTATTTTGTCTTCAATCAAAATTTATTCAGTGCTGTTGATTAGAAAAACCTCTGATAAGTGTGAAGGAAGCAACAAATCTATGCAATACGGGTAAACTCAGGTCAATCAGACTGTTTGCTCACCAAGAAAACTGATCCGTGACTTGTATTTATGCAGAGGCCAGCACCAGGTGGTAAAGTCAGATCAGCACATGCTGATACAGAAATAATATCTGCTATATCTACTCTGATAGTCTTCTTATCCCCATTCACAGCATCTGTTGATCTGCCAGAGAGACTTTGAGGTACTTGTCTCTGTTCACCTCTGGGTATCTGAAAGAAGGGAGGGATGTAAATTAATTTAAAATTTGCATTTGCAATACTAGAGCTGAGAGGTTATCTAATGAATTTAAAACTAAATGTAAGTAGCCTCTTAAAAAATTTCAATTTGTCAGCCAGATGTCTTACCTGTTGAAGCCTTTCATGATCCAAAAGAAATTCTGACCGTTTCCAGTCATTATGAGGTGCAATTGTTGTCCCCACAGGAGGTGCAGTTAAATATCCAAATTTAAGGTGTGGTAATGGTAGCTGTGAAAATTGAGTTCTGTCAAAGCTAGTATGATAAATGAATGATTCCATCAACTAACACCCACTTTTGCATAGTAATGGAATACCCATATCAGATAGTACATATCAAGTAGAAGATAAGTTAACTTCTAATCTAGAAAGAAGATAGGTTGACTCACTCTAAGCACTCCTGAAGGGGATGAGATCATATATAACAGTATGGCTACTTAATGTGAAAACAAAATTCAGAAAGCTTGGAAGAGCAATTTCAAAGTCATTTAAATGATAAGTTATGTGGCAAGTTGCAATGTTGGTCAAAGTCAAAAAGCTACTACACAAACATAATTTAGGATAGCATGTACTCACCATAGAACGCACCAACCGCAAGGCACTGCTATAAACCTGTCACATACCAAAAAAATAATGGGCTGATTGCATGATCAAAATTGGGTTTGGGGGGGGGCTGAACAGGACACAAGGAAATAAATAGAAGGATATAGGTAAGAAACAGACTCGTGTTAACTAGACTAACAAGCCTTTCTAATCCAAAAAAGGCATGTAGCCAATAAATATTTACAAAGGAAGACAAATAGAAACTGGCTTCTTACTGAATAATTTGGTTTCAATGCATGAGCAGCTGCAATATATATTGCCGATTGGCTGTACAATTCATTTGGTGAAACTTCTTGAGCACTCATTGATCCCCCAGTTCTTAAAGTATCCTCTGCTAATCCGTACTGCAAAGGCATTTGGTGAGTCAAAACTATATTCTTAATACTGATACAAAAATGTTAATCCAAGACAACAAAGGATATTGTGTCATTAAATAATAAATGTGTAAAATGAAGTAGCAATATGACCAGAACAGTTCCCAGATTGTAAATTGCCCGATGGAAATCAAATTGCAACTGTATGGCTGCCCGGAACTGCATTGAAGAACATGTAAAAGTCAAAAGTGGAAGAAAGAATATGTTATGTTCAAAGCACATAGCTGATGTAAAACATTTGCTTGTCACTTCCATCTGATTCCCTCCTAAAATTTGTGTACCTTGCTGATAGCAGTTCTCACAATCTTTTGCTTTTCTCGAGCTGGAACAATGGCGCTGAGTTCCTGAATTGGAAATCAATTTAAAAAAAAAATACAAAGAAATTACTTGAGAATTTCCAATAAAGAAAAAATTAAAAATTCTATAAAATTCTTAAGTACAATATTAGCCAGAGAACTCTCAAAGTAGAGGCAAATACATTCTGAAGGAGAGAAGAGAGTTGGGTGTGATTAGCAAAATAAGAAGGGAATCGGTTTTGAAAACTAAAAGAAATGTAGTGCCGATCCGATGGTATTTGAAGGTTTTAATTCTGGCTCATTCTATTCTTTATGTTTTTATTATTATTATTTTTTATCTATAGAAGTTTTCAAGATAACCTTGCCTATGTCATGCTTTTTTGCCAAACTTTACATAGCTGGTCCCAAAGCCAACTAAATGAGGGTTGTATCAAACAATCCACAGACAACTTAAAACTATGTTGAATCATTTTTGACATGGATCAACAATAACTGTGCTAATGCTAGGCTGTAACCTAAGTAATGCTGTACATTGCAGTTTGAGTACAGCATTAAATGAGCAACAAGTGCTACATCAGCACCCAAATGTAGTTAAAAACATGCAAGAGTTTTCACATTTTCTTATAGGATTTATTTTGGCACCTGAACACTAACAGTAAATCCTATGGAAGCAGTTGACATTGTTATTAGAAGGTGACAAGGTGTATTAATTTTTATGTGATTTCAAGAAAGCCAACTGGGTTAGATAAAAGGCTATGGAATTGGACACTTCAAGATTTAAACTCTGGTACAAAGATAAAGTTATAGCAAGAAATCCGACATGTATAGTTACAGGTCAAACTTGAAAGAATAATTAGGTCAATTTTAATGGATTAAGGATAGGAGGATATCCTTAAATTTGTCATTGAACGGGAAACATTCAATTTGATATGTGTATATCCACCCTAAGTAGGTCTAGAGGAACAACAAAAGGAAAACTTCTGGGAAATTTTAGAAGGGTCAAGAAATCTCAAGGAAGAAAATAATTTAGGAAGAATTTGAATATATTAGAAACAGACATAAGGGCCTGCACGGGATTTTACCGTGTAATAAGAAGACCAATAACATCTCCAATGACAAATGTAGATCAGTAAAACAAGAACATGTAGACCTTAGAAAACTTTGGACGAAACCATTAAAAACAGACTTTATTCAAAATTGTTTTATAGAAGATTTAGTTTTGTATAAAGCCCAATGGCATCAACTGATCCATGTGTCTGGCCGCACCTAGTGGAATGGCTTGGTGATTGTTTTAGTATAGAATAAAGTTAGTTTTTAAAATCCAATATTTTTTTTTTTTTGGTACATTGCCAGGAGGTATCCCCATTCAACCTTCTCCAGGCACCATGCCCTCGGGGTACGGCCCGTTTGGGCTAGCCCCTCATTGTAACAGTGGGTGCACTAAGCTTCGCAACCGGAGAAAGGACGAGACTAATCCCCCAACCGAAGATTTTTGACTTATCCTCTGGCCCCCAAAGATTTTCCAAGAAACTGCTTGAGGCAGGATTTGATCCCTGCACCAAGCAATCCCTTGGGAGCTCAGCTGCCAACTGAGCTACCCTTGGGAGTTAAAATCCAATATTTTAAATTTGAGCCACATTGTTCCAACTTCATAAAAGAGACATATAACTACATAACCAACCATATAAAACCAAACACTATGGTTTTAAAAAAATAAAAAATAGTAAAACAGGCTAATTATGAAATATGACTGTCTCTTGATGCATATGAGGTGTGAAGCATGTATGTGTAGATGATCATTTTCTTGGATAGGCATTAATAAAAATGTGACCTTTATTAATTTCAAACTGATAACTAGCAAAACAAAAAGGTATGAAGGATAGATTACCCTGTCATTCCTTGTAATATTACTCATATTATATTAATTATGCAGTCTTCGCATTAGAAATTTACATGCCTATAATTTGTATGAAGTTGTGAAATGCTTCTATACTGTCAAAGTAAATATACCTGAAGAGCAAGTCCCCAATTATTAAGTGCCTGAAATAGATTCCATGAGAGTCAGTAACAAGGGCTCAACATGCAAATGAGCATGCATGTGAAAAAATTCAAAAGTTGTAGGAATAGAACGAGTACAGGGTTAAGCAAATATTTGTCTAAGGAAACAAAAAAAATCTGTTTCAAAATAATGTTCTGGCTCCATAAGAAGTCAAAAGACAAATTTCTAACAATTAGACGAGATGTACCTGAGGACTGTTCCAGTTGAGCTGGACTGCTTTTTCATAGTTCCTTGTTGCCTGGGAAAAAGGTCAAATTAAACAAAAATTAGATTGTGTGATGATAAGCCTCTCTCCGTCAACCAACACGTAGCATAACAACTATAAACTAAAAGTGTGAAAAGTTCTTCCATTCAAGTTCAGTATGAATACAATTCTGTATCAAGCATCATCCAATATTCATCAAGGGATTGATACAAGAGCACGAGCTGCCAAACTCCAATGTCTAAATATGCATGAAACAATTAATAAAAGGCAACAATTATTTTTGCTGAACGCTGACCTGTTTCCATAGCTCTTCAGCTTCCTTTGTGCGACCACGCATCTTTGCCCGATCAGAGATTGCTATAGCCCAATTGTAGAAAGCCTGGATGGAGGAAAAAATGGAAAGTAAAGACACTCATTTTGTGCTTAGACATACGTACTTATTTGCAAATAGGAACAATTTTGAGCTTTGTTGTCATATCAATAGAGTCATACAACAGGACTACTCAAGAATCATCATAATATGGATAGCATGGATCCTGCAGATAGATAGGCTACCAGCTTAATAATACTGCAACACAACGGTTGCAAGGTAGCAGGAGGTGGCAACTGTCCTCCAAGTAAGGATACTGCTATTTAGTAAAGTATGCCTGGTAAATGGTAGCTACATACAAGGGAATTGTTGGATGATATGCCCAGGAAATTCCAATGTAATGAGCTGAAATGCTGAATAATAAAATGGTATTGTATGAACAGCTTAAAATTTTACTTTTATTCTTTTAACAAGGGCTTAAAGGGTGATACTGAACAAAGATCTAGGAGTGTAATCAAGCCAAGCTTTTAGTGAGATATACAGTCTAGACTCATTATGGGCTGTCTCAGTTCAGTTCACGTAATTAATTAATCAAAAGGACTGAAACCCGCTCAATAAATTATATGAGCTTGAGAGTTTTACTGCTCAGTTTAGCTTGTTAATAGCTCGTTCAAAGAATAAAATATTACAAAATATATAATATACACAATATTTATAACTTCTACGCATTTGTGTGCATGCTCATTTAAGGTTTATTTTTTTAGTGGTATTTCTATTTATATACAGAGTCTCTTTTAAGGATCAGGTTAATTTAGGCTCAACTTCCCTAGATGTGCCCAAGCATGTTATTGTCCAGCTCATTTACACCCCTACCCATATCCTATGTAAAAGAACACACATTCAATTATGTCTTGTTATTTGGGATGGAAATTCTTAGAGCATCAAGCCTGTCTTCACATTGATATTAGCTTTCCCAATAAAGCAGGGATTTGATAGTATTTCACAGTGAAGGATATCCTTACATACATCATGTAGGGTGGGACAAAGGTGAGTGGCTTCATCATATTTTTTACAAGCTTCCTCAAGCAAAGCGTCTTTAGAAGGTGAAGTGGAATCTGGACTAACATTATCTGCACTTTCCTGCATGTCAAAAAAGATTGAATGGACACCTTATTTAAAGCTTGGACCAAGCATAGCATACTTATAATTCAAACCAGTAGCATTTTGTATGTCTGTAATGGATATCCAAGTATTTTAGTATGTAACAAAATATGAAGTTGGAATCCCATTCATGAGAAAATGCAAAGTATGTATTTCAGTCAGATTAATGCAAAATATAGTTAGCCAACAAAAGTCGATGCCGATGGTGTGTACTTATGCTCACTAATGGAACATCATGCAAGAAGAACTTATACTGAATAATTAGTAAATATAATCAAGCTAATGGAACTACATGCTAACAAAAAACCAAGAAAAAAATTCAAGACAAGAAGTAAATAAAATTTCAAGAATAACATAAAAACCTAGCAGACTTCAATATTACAAGAACCAAAACAAGACAACTGCTCGGACCTGAAGTACCAATGCCCAATTGTATAGGGCATCATAATCTTCCGGGTTCCTCTCAATTGCAGTAGCATACCTAAAAATCCAAGTAAGACATTATAAGTTTGAACAAAGATTTCCATGAGAAGCGCAACTGAAATGGCAGTGCCTGTCATGTAGCTCCTGATATATGCAGAAGATTACAAAGAGAATTGTAGTTTTGCAATAATTTTTCTGTGCTATTTATTCCTTATTGTATATAGATTCATAGAACTGATCATGGTACCTCCTTGCAGCAAATGTAAGAATCCGTTGTCGGGACCGGCCCTCCTCATCAACACCAACAACACTATTTATCAAATCCATTGCAGCGTTGTTCTGGTCTGAATGCTGTTGCTGTTGACTTTCTGGGCTGAAATTTTTGAAACAATACAATGTAAAGTTGCATTTCATGCGTGCACATGAGGAAAACACTCTCAAAGTGAAACCCTTAAATTTGTATCATTTTGATTTACCATAGCTATATAAAAAGAAAATAAGCTAACAAGAGTATAGGACATTGAATAGTTAAACAGGTGCTAAAATTCTTCCAGAAATGAAATTTTAGAACCATTTCTTAGTGAAATATTTTACAAGCCACATACGATCCATAATTCCTGTGTTCATATGAACAGAATCAAACCATGACCAAACCAAAAGATAGCGACAATAAACAAACGGCAAGCATTATCTCTTTTCCATCAATTTATTTGTTTTCTAGATTTAATGCGGAAAAAGAACTGTAACCTGTAGGGAGAGTTGGCATCTTCTCTCTCCGGTTCAGAATCATTTTTCAAACCGTTTAGCAATTCTCTCATGGTGAAAGTTCGACTTCCTTCGTCTTTTCGCAGCTGAGGATGCGGTGAAGGATTGGTATCCGCATCATTGGAATGAATCGCGGTTTCCCTGAGATCTGCGTTGTTAACCGATGGATCAGCTACTGATCCAGATTCCAACTCCAATTGCGTTTGCGTTTGTTCTGTTGGCACCAGTTCTGTTTCTGGCTGCGGATTTGGCTCTGGTTCTGTTTCTGGCTGCGGATTTGGTTCTGGCTGTGGATTTGGTTCTGGTTCTGGTTCTGTTTCTGTTTCTAGCTGCGGATTTGGTTCTGGCTCTAGATTTGGTTCTGGCTGTGGATTTGGTTCTGGTTCTGTTTCTGTTTCTGGCTTCGGATTTGATTTTGGTTCTTGTTCTGGTTCAGGCTCTTGTCGAAGTCCGTTCTGCGATTCCGGTTCAGGCATTATGCGGTGTTAGGGTTTAAGAGGGAATGGAACAGAGAATTGAGGACAAAAGGAGAGTTTCGGTTTGATCCCACTCGCAAACAGGGTTGACAAGAGCGATGAGCTGTGGGCAGGGGCAGAGGGAGTGCTGAAGAAAAAACAACTATTGAAGAACACTACTGTTTTGAAATTTTGTGCAAGCAAGCATAATAAAATAACAGATTCGTTTTTTTTTTAAGATATTTATTTATATTAAATTCAAAACAATATTATTTTGGAACGAAAATTAAAATATTTTTATAATTATAATATTTTTTTTTTATTATAATTTTTTAATTTTTCAACTCAAAACGATGAATGGAAATATTTTATCTACAGTTATTTTAGAAAGCCAAAATAATAATGGATAAATTTCAGCCATTTTTTACATTTACTTACTGTACATTTGTTTATGAATTTTTTACATTTTTGGAGATATTGTACTTATTATTTTTTACTATCTAACGATTATAATTTATTAAGTCAGACACTTATATTTATAAATTAATTATTAATCTTTAATAAATTATTACTGATAGATTGACGAAAATCAATAATTAAAATTTGATACTAAGATGTAGTAAAAACAAAAATAATAAGTATAATTTTTTTCATTTTCAAAATGATATTTTGTTATAAATTATTCGCTTAATTTGAATAACATGTAATGAGTCTAATGCCTTCAATACATGTTCTTTCGCATATGAAATTATATTTGGAATTGAATTTAGAATTAGAATGTTACGCTCCAATTTTAATTATTTTATTAGATGCATATATTAGAATAAAATTATAATTCTGAAACTAATTTCAAAAATATATTTTATTTAATTAATAACATAAATTTTAAAAATTAAGATTTTAAATATCAAATATAAGAGTTAATTTATTTTTTCTTCGATCCCCACAATGTCATCTTGAAATGAGGTATGAAATCTTAATTTGGATTAATCTATAAGTGGTTCAAAGAGTTGAATCTACCGGTTTATTGGAGATGAAAATAAAATAAAAAATTAATTTTTTATATTCTTTTGCTGACTATCTTTGTCGCTTCAATACTTGAAAAATTATCATTGAAGGCATGTACTAAAAAAAAATTTAGATCTATCTAAGTATTTCTCGAAAATTGGATGATAGATCATATAATATGAATGTAATAAAATATTAGGGAGGAAAATACATAAAACAACTGAAAAAATAAAAGCAGACCATAATAGGCCGAACACAACTCAACCCTAGTATTGACTACAAACTCAAATCCCTTGGGCCAATAACATGAAACTTGGCATTTTCTGTTCACAAACAACAAAACAGAAATCCGTTAAAAGTGAAGCCCAATTATAGAGACAAAGGTAACCTAAAATAGGAGCATGGACATGATACATGAGTCAAACCTGCCCATGGTAATGTCTCTAATATATTATAGGCTGATGTACCAGGAATGTGATTCCATATTTCCAATGGCCCATTAAGTTTTTTTCCCCACTAACGCTGGTGCAGGGCGTTGAGGATCTTTCACTTTCACAGGACCCGATCTTGGGAATTGGGCTATGTGCAACCCTGTACACTATGGATGCACACTCATCCCTCTTGGGGATACTGCTGTGATGCGTTTTGGTTGCCAAGTTGAGGTTCAATTTGGTGAAGACTTCACAAATGCTAGAGAGGAGTAATGAAACTACAGCGTGAAGTCATATAGGTTGAATATGCTGTTGGACACTAGCGGCCAATGGTACTGCATAGTGTGAGAGAGATAATGATTTCATGAAATAATGACCGCTTGGTAGTGCACGTTTGATTAATGAATGGAACATGGCTTGAACATAATGTATCTGTGCAGTGGTGTGGTGGTGATCTTTTTTTTGGCTTTGGTGAGAGAAGTGAGACCTAGGACTAGGAGTAGTATGGAGCAAAGGGAGATGAGTTTCACACTTTCACTCTACGTATTGCATTGAAATATGTGATTTTATGATAATGATCAAACATACTAAATTTAAGATCAATCAAATATTTTTAAGCCCCTATTCGAACAATTAATATTTACATATTTTTTAAAAACATACTATATGTTAAAAAAGAATAATTAACTCAAACATCAATTAGTTTTAAAGTTTTATAGAATTTTATTGGCTTAATTTATTTTGTGAAAAAATTTAATACATCTTAATTAAAAATATAATATATAAAAATTATTAATATGATATTCACTTAATAATTTGAACTTTTGAGTTGAATTACAATTTACACAATATCAGAGCAGCTCTGATCATGTAAGCTCCATCCTGTTCTTTATAATGGTAGCAACAACTAGATCTACCACTTCTATATTCTATATCATTTTTGTGATCAATAAAAGTACCAAAATAATGGTAGTTAACAATAGCAACTATAATTTAATAGATCAGTGTAACAAATCAGTTATCATTCAAGTAGATTTCTTATCTGGAACACAATTATTATGTCGTGACTTGTTTCGTTCCTTCCTGCACATTTCCGACACCTTAGCCCCCTTACAAGAAATCCCCTATCCACTTGACATCATGTTGCAACTGACTTATGAGTCAGCATTCAGGCATATCCCTCCTCATTATCCAAAGAACCTAATGTTGAATGAATCAAAAAAGAAATGTTTTATCTCAGCAAACCCCTCATTCTATCTTATCTTAGACTTGTTATGCAATTTGGTAAGGGAGTATTTCGAAAATCACTTAACTCACCCGTAGGATCAATTGAAAGAAAAAATGAAACACTTATTCTAGTAAATAGAGAGAAGACAAAAAGTGTGGCTAGCTATCTAGATTTATTTATTTTTCCTTGTATCTTTCATGTTGAAGTTGAAGAAGGTTAGTTATGGTGAACTAGGAAGCAAAAATGTCGTCGACTCTACATTACGGATTAAGGTGTACCTCGGATATTGTGCCCTCACCAAGATAAAGCTCCTATATTCACATTTTTTCTTAATTATTATTATTATTATTATTAAGGTTTTTTCTACTCTAAAGTGAGTGAATATATTTTATGTTAAGACATAAAGTAACGGGACACACCACTAAAAAAATGGTAGCACAACTATGAAAGGATCTATGACATAAGATACAAGTCTCCTTCCTATATATATAACATGAGACTTGTATTTTCCTATTTTTAATCATTCAAATGAAGTGTTACCATTTGCATTTGTTTTAAATATCTGAAATCTTGGCAGATTCCTTAAATCAATTCATGTCCTCTTAGCTCTGTCATATATGTATCAATTGGATTGGAAGCTGGTTGGCTTGATATGATCCGTTGGTAATTAGAATGGAAGTAAAGGCCATAAGGTGGTGTTTGGCTGAAGTCTTCTGAAATTTTCCTAGGTAAGTGAGAGAAGGATTCTAGGATAGAAGTGTTTGGTTGAATAGATTCTCACAGAAAGCTGGTTATCCAATATGCATAGGTTTATGAATTTAAATGGAAAAAGACATGTTTCGGTACTGTTTGAAAAGCTTTTTGCTATGTGGGTTTTTGTAAAACCACGGTAAACCACTGTTTGTGCTATTTTTGTATAACCAATATACCCTTTCAAAATGCAACAGAGATGATACGATGCCAATCTTCTGTAGGTTATCAGCTTAGAGCACCTATTTGCAAGTAGCGACCGGAAGAAAGCAAGGTGGTGCATGGTGGTTGTCGATCTGACCTTCCCGCAAGTAGCTTCAGAAGGTTTGCTTTCCATTACCTTCGATCTCACCCAGCTTGTTTTTGACAAATATGGAACATGATTTGTTGATGATTCGTAATCGTTTTTAAAAATGAAAAATAGCTTATCTTCCACTCAGCTAGATTACTGTCTAGAGTTCTGTTCATCCTCTTTCTGTTGAAAGTTATAAAAATAAAAATATAAAAGGAAGAACGGAAAGAAGGTTATGACAAACCACACCTTATAGGAGTAAAACATGTTTGTTTTTGTAATAGTTCTTCACGGGTAAACATTAATTTCTGGCCTAAACCATTTTACAGATTTTTAATTGAAAAGCTTTCCCTGTATCTTTAACCCAAGAGGCAATAGATCGAAAGGGGTTAGTCTAAAGTGGACAACTATCTTCCCCACAAGGCATATTCTCATCTAGATTACTTGGGTGCCTTTTATTTGAAATATTAAATATATGATTTTTTGAAATCTCTTTCCATTTCAATTGAGAATTTTGTTCTACACATGGAGATCTTTCTGTTATTATATGATATGTGTGTTTTTGTATAAAATTGAAGGAGAATTCGTATTCTCAAATTTGTGGGTTTATAAAAACCAATTAAAAATGAGACTCATTGACCAATGATTGAGCTTTTTGTGAGATTTCCCCCCATCTAATTTACGTTTGTATCTGCTCTGCCATTTTGCAAAAGAGTAACTCAGCACAACCACGTCACTTGAAGCTCGCTCAGTCATATTTTTGGAGTTGTCCTCTCTCTTTCGGTACACGGTGGTGTTAGCTGCATCCTACTTCCCCATCACTTGAAGTTCATTCTCAGATCAAGTAAGTGGTGTTAGCTGCATGTATATCTTATTTTTTGAACTTTTACGTAGAAGTTAAAATTTTCATTTTGTCATCTCCTATAATTGATCCATTGTTATAAAATATATTCATAAGCTTATTTTATGGACCCTCGTGACATTCAACCTTTTTTAAAATGATTTATTAAGTTTGGGTTTATGGGAAGCAGGTCTTGAATGTTATGTTAATAATATAAAAAAAATTATCATGTTGTGATGATGTTGATGTTGATGTTGATGTTGTTGTTGAGAGAATGGCATAGGAGGAGGGTTTAGGTATACTGGGATTCCTCGGATGGGTCTGAGAAAACCAAGTTCTTGGCTTAGGCTTTGGATTTGTGGTTGTTGTTGGTGGTGGTGGTGGAAAATTGGCTGGTTGTGGAAGTAATGGTTTTGCTGAAATGTTTGGAAGGGATTGGCCTTACCGTTTTGGAAGTGATGAATGAGGTTGGAGTTTTTTGACACCTGAAGCCTTTGGATTAGAGAGGGAGAGGTCATGATCAAATCAAGTATCCTTTTTGGACTTTGATGATGATG